CACAGCCTACATAACACACTGAACATGATATTCGGACAACCTGGAAAGATTAGCAAACATGCTCTGTGAAGTGTCAGAACCCAGACAACTGAACCTTTACCTGTATGACTTTTTAATATCATCAGAAGTGGCATTCTTGTCCAGTCCTAGGACGTGGTACAATGATTCTCCGGAGGTAGACAGCGAACGTTGCCTCTGGTCTGCCATCCTGAACTAACCTGAGTGAGGAAGGGGGAAAACATGCATTAGGACAGAGCTACTGAAAAATCACATCTAAAACAAAGATGCTTATAACCAAAGTCCCTACCAATTGCCAACCTTACTAGAGCTGTTATATGAACTTAATCTTTTCTTTAAAAAATAAGTGGGTTTTTAAGAGATGCTAGACATTCCAAACAAAGCAATTTACCTTGCTTTCATAGATCTTGCAGCTTTGTGCTTTCAGGGTGCATCTACACAACAGTGTTATTTTGCCATTATTCAGAAATAATGCAAGTATTTACACAGCAATTCTGTTATTTCAAAATAAACTCGAAATAACGGACGGCTTTTATTCCAACGTCTGTAAATCTCATTCCACGAGGAATAACGACTATTCTGAAACAGCTATTTTGGAATAGAAGTAGTATGGACGCTCCACTGCTGCTATTTCAAAATACCTCCTCCCTAGGGCTATTCAGACTAATTACTCCCCAGTGCCACCTGGGGCTCTAAATCGAGGTCACATGTCCCCGTTACGGAAGCCTGCCTCAGAATGATTTTGAGGCTTCCCTGTAGTGTAGACATACTATTTCAAAATAAGCTATTTCAGAGTATTTCTTCCAGAATAGCTTATTTTGAAATAAGTGTGCAGTGTAGACATGCCCTCAGTGAAAAATAACGAAAACTATAAGGATGAATCCAGACTATTCAAAAAAACAACCACACATTCCTGGAAGTAGGAAAAATTAGAAGCTGAAGATCAGCATAAATATTATGATAGAACATTTATGCAACTCTACTTAAACATTTATTTCTAATCCAGGAAACAAAATAGAACAAGTCAAATGTTACCGAACCCTGAATCTAGTTCCGGTAAACAGCTGATGTGCATATATTAAACATCCATAAAACAGCATTAGTCTCCTTCGAATACCACTTCAACACTCTCCTTTTCCACAAAGCCTACAAACAATGACAACGATTAAGCAGCTTATGTGCTGAGACCATTATTTTGTTCTGTAAGGTGCCTAGCACAATGGAATCAAGGTCCATGACTAGAGCTCCTAGGCACTATGGTAACACAAATATAGAGCAGCTCTATGTCACCCCAGTATACATCGGTTCCACACCAATGTCACTGATGCTTGTAGGAACTGATGGGTTAGAAGTCCTCCTATTCCCTGCTCTTATGTTGCGCAAAATTTCCCACTTTACATCCACCTTTTCTGGAACAAATCTTGGATGTACAGCGGAGATGCCCTGTAATAAAATTCTTTAAACTTCACTTAACCAAGATAAGTAAAGGTGCCAGATTAACAGCACTGAACAGAGGCATTCCTCTGGTCACCCACAGTACACATAGTGCAATGTAAGTTTCACCACACCATTTCAACCATGTATGTCAATCCTCACTCTGGCTCACATATACAAATATAGCTGGGAGCACTCAAACTTCTTGTGCATTAAATTCATGGCGCCTTCACTGAGATAACCAGTCAGGTTTACAGTTCTGATGGTGGTTTTGCCACAAACCCAACACCCCTTTTGGCTCATGTTAGCAAACAGCCATTAGAGAATTTTCAACCGCTATCAAATCTGGGTTGTATTCAGCAAGTGATCTAGAAACAAAAGATCCTGTACCTCATTATCTGTGCTCAGTCACCCAGTCCACCATAAAAATATTAGTTAGCTGAGAATTACTGCACTGAAGGTTTCTTCTGACAATCAAATGTTTGTTTAATCAGAATTAAAATACTATTAACAGTTTTTGGGAAAAACTAAGTTGAAGTGCAAAATTCAAGAGTGCAATTGTTTAAACCAGTGTTTCCCAAGCTATGGGCCGCGGCCCGGCACCAGGCCACAGGAAAAAAGTACCGGGCCTCAGCAGAGTGTTGCCAGAGTGTTCCAGGCTCCTGGAGTGCCTGTGTGGCACTGGGTCCCCCAAGCCCTTGGCCAGCCTAGGCGGAGTCTGCAGCTGGATCTTCCGGCTCCCAGCAGATGCATAGCTAGGAGAGGTTGGAGGGGGGAGGGAGGAGGAGGAGGAGGGGAGACCCTGCGGAAGCAGAGCTGGAAAGGGGAGATTGGGAGGAGTAGAAGAGGAGAAGCGGCTGCTGGAAGCAGGGCTTGCCTGGGGCATCGGGACTGTCCATGAGAGATTGGGGGGCTGGTGGAAGCAGGGATGCCAAGGGGTACGAGGTCGGGGGTAGGGAGCTGGCTGGGGAAGAAAAAAGTTGGGGGGAATGGGGGGGAAGGGAAGCAGGGCTAGAAGCAGGCAGCTGGGCTGGCCAAGGGAGATTGGGAGGAGGAGCGGGG